TATATATATTGTATATACTCAAACGTTTAAATACTCGCTACATTTCTTACAATGAATAATTTCTAATGAACAATTTGTTTATTTGATAATTATATATAGAAAGCAGGAATTAATAATGATTATCTTAATTTTATCCCTGATATTTTCAGTGAATTTTACGCTATTTATAAGAGTAATTATCATCTCAATTTTTTCTTATAAGGTTTCAGATAGATCTATCCTTGCGTAACGTATATGTTTAAAGAACCCCGCACTAATCATATGGAAAATTTGTCCCGGTCAAATCAATTGGTTTTTACATATGTTGTAGCTTATGACCTACTGAACAAAAGATGTAATGGGCACAAAGCTCAATAATGGACAGTTATCGAGTTATAACCAGTCAAACATGAAAAATTCGGGCTGCCGAATAGTCAAATCTCGGAAGGTATTGATTTTTTTTGAAAAATGTTTGAAACAAACATAGTAGGGTTTTACAAAATCTGTTAGTTGGTGACATTATTTGTGAATTTTGAATGACCTTGAAAAGCTCCGTGAACAAAAATCTTCCACAAAAATGCCTATTTTTTATTATATTCGTGTAGCTAAATTCGAGACGTTTTCAAAATATTTTTGATGAACCTTTTTTCTACTAAAACTTCTTGAGAACTAATATACACGATTTACCATCTCTGGTTATGAGCGTAGAGTTATGTGTAGAGCGCTCGATTCGTACAGCTAGAGCCGTCAGGCGACTCATCCCCACTGCTACACTGCGGGCGGTATACTGTATACTCTATCTGCAATCTGTGAGAAATCATATTGGTTGATATTGCTAGCGCAGGCATTGTCATCACTAAGCGTATCTATTCTAGCGTTATTGCTGCCGAATGCTATTACTTTCTGGCATTACTACGTCCGATATTGATATTATTGATATCAGTGTATTCTGTTCATTTTGGTCTCAGGAATTATTTCACCAGAAAAGTTTTTAATATTTAATCAATCTGATATTGCTACGCAATTCGATAATAAAGTATTATCATGGCTTACAGACATGGAATCCATTGTTATGTTTGCGATCGTGCTTTTCAAGCTCGACAAATGGTACGAATCAATGGCGATAATGATGCAATTAAAAAACAAATCGCTGTTTTTAGGCGAACTGGGCTGGGTAAGGAGCCCATTGGTATAGACAATGAAAGCCGATTATGTTTTAATTGCAATGTATCTATTGTACATGAAATAGAACAGATAGAACTTGATCCGACTTGCCTACGACTCAACGTTATTACCCAAACCCGAAATAATTCTTGTTTATTTTGCAATGCTATTGTAAATATTAGACCACTGTCGTTAGAATCCAGGGTAAATGTCT